TTTTAGGAAGGTGAGGTGTAATTTAATTTTTAAATTTATTTTTGCTGCGTTTTATTTGTATTTGATACATGATCAACCCTCACCCAACATCAAGTTGGCTAACGACGCTTCTTTACGACCACTAGTCACCCCATGGTCGGATCTAGCACTCCCTGGGCAGATCCGATGCTCCTTCAATCTTGCCAACGCTCATCAATGATGCCAAATCTGACGTTCCCTCATGCTTGTTGATGCTCCTTGGTTGGATTTGGCCACAAGAGTGTTGACAAGTGTGAGGGAGCATCAGATCTGGTGGCGTCAATGAGCATGATGGAACACCAGATCTGGTGTTTTGGCGGTTGGATTTGGCCAGGGAACATTCTTTCTAGCGTTCCTATGATTGGATCCAGTTGGGGAACATTTGATCGACGTCCGTCGTTGCCATTTGTCATTGTTGTTCGTAGTGGAGAAAATTTTGTGAAAGAAGGAGAGAAAATGCTTGAGTAGAAAGAGGAAAAAAATTCTAAAAATGAAGAAATTGTATTTTATATAATGATAATTTTTAAAATTAATGAAAGATAAAAGTGTCATAAAATATTATCATATTATCAAACTAACGAAAATATTGATAGTGGATTAACAACAAAACTTATGTGTCTTGGGAAAGATATTCTTTTGAACAGATTTTTCATTTTGAATATTAATAGACCCATGTTGAATTATAACCAAAACTTAGAAGAATTAGGATATTTTACCCATTTAAAAACTATAATATGGATCAATACTATTTCGTTTTATTTTGAAGCTATGGATTAATATGCATGAATTGCCATACAATCTTATCACCTACACTTATTATAACTAATAATATTTGACTTAAATGTAGTCATGTATACTCATAAGTGTTACTCTTCAAATTTCGTTTTTAAATTATATTTAAAAATTATATGAAATTATGAACTATCTATCAATTTTCTAATCTCTAAATTTATTTGATAAACAATAAAATTTTAAGTATTTCTTAAGAGTGGTAAAGATAGACTGTCCTTGTAAACCTCCACATAACTTTTTTTAATTATCATGCACATATATATATATATATATATATATATATATATATAAACACACACACACACATAAAAAAACATATTTAAAATTGTTAACATTTAAAAAATTAAAGAAATATATTTAAGGTTTGTTTGATAAGTATTAGTTTCCAACTGACTATTATTTTTTCAAAAAATTGATAAATCATGTTTCCTCACATTTCCAAATTTTAATCATACCCATCACTACTTTAAATAAGAAAATTTAAAATTTTGCTCATATTGACTTAGACAGAAATACATAGATTAGCTTATGAAATAGCACTTACTCAACTTTTTTGATAGTTTTCATTGTAATAATAACTCATACAGAACTTGCCCAATTTTTAGAATTTTTTTCCTTTAAAATTAGTATGGAAATTTTGTGAAGGGACACCTCAGCTTTTAATATTTGAGAATCAATTTGAGTTTGAATTTAATATGTTAAAAATTGATTAAAAATTGTATTTATATGTAAAATTTTATATCTACTTATTGAACAGTGAAAATTTAATTGTAATTTCCATAAACATATCTATCTAAATAACACACTAAAATTTATTAAAATATTCAAATTTCCATATACTAAACCTATATAATGAAGTCGTACGAGATATCAATTTAAATTTTTTATATAATCAATTTGAGAGGAACTCATGATGAACTTGTCATAAAAGCCCTTATTTAAGTTCTACCGGTACAAGGAAGCGATAGAAGCGTTTCCATATAGTGATAATGTTGGAGACTCATTGTTGACATCATTTTCGCAATGAAAAACATTTTTGAATTATTAAATAAAATCTCATGATTCAATGTTATTTTGACCAAAGAAGAGCCAATCAAGTGGTTATGGATTTGGGCTATTTAAATATTGTAAAACAAGTTCAAAAATGCTGTTTAGGCCTTTTAAATGATATCGTAAAGTAACAAAAAATTTATTTTAAAATCAGTATTTCCAGTAAAAGTTTTATATATATATATATATATATATATAAAATGAAAATGGAAATATCCAAATAGGTCCAAGGGTTATGAAATTTTTCTTGCGTAGGCCCAAGGTGGAAGCCGCTTCGAAGCAAGGTTGGATACGAAAATTTTAGGACCGACCCAGTCTAGCTATATTATTAATATTAATAAATAATTTATTTAATTTAATTCTAAATATTTAAGGATATAAATTATTAACATAACAATATTTTATTATTAACATAACAATATTTAAGGATATAATTTAATGCTATTACCAAAGTTGGCAGTCATGTAGATGCCAACTATGCGTACCGTTAGTAACTTCCACGTAAGCTTTTGATTACCAAATTCATTTATTAATAAACTTTAGGATTAATGGTATATCAATTTGAATTAAAAACAGCAAATATTTAGAAACAGATGTAATTTATTTAGAAAAATAAAATGCATGACTTTAACATATATAGATTTAGTATGTTAAAATTAATTTAAAAAACGGAATCATTTATCCAATTTTAATCAATTAATGATTTGGCACTCTACGTGTTGTTTTTCAGCTTTCATATAACTTTTCAAATAAATAGAAAGTATAAATGGATGGGGTGGGGATGGCAGAGTACCTGGATGAGAAGATAGCTCTCGCCGTCAATGACATTCTTTATGACTTTGAAGGTCTGCCCATAGTATATATGGTAATTCTGGGCATCTTCTATTTTCGAGATGTTACCAACCTTCACGGTTGCAGCCCCATCTATGGCCATTAGCCACATAGAAGTGAAGAAGCAGGCTAGGAGAAAGAGCCTTTGGACCAAAATCCAACTAGTTGAAGAAGAAGAAGGAGACATGACTAAATTAAGAAGCAGCAGCGGCGCAACTGATCACTTGGTAAACTGTTAGGGAAATGGTGGAGACGATTGATAAAGTTTCTGTTTCTATTTCTTTCTAGCTAACTCATTGATTGATAGGGTGAGTGAATCATCGCTTGTACGTTGGGGTGGGTAATGGGCATGGGGGATGTGTGGCTGAGTAAAAAACATCAAGTGGGAAGTGGGAAGAAGGAACCCGTGAACTATGAAGCCTTTTGCCATTGTTTTTTTGTTATTCTTTATGATGAAGGAAACCCGTGAACCCAATGTTTTCTTGCCCTTTTTGTCATCTTATGTTCCACTGATTCCCTTTTGTTGTAACTTTCTTGCCATTTTTCAAACAATTTATATTCCCTACCCATGTGCCGTGCATTGCATCACCAACTCTAATTTCCAAATTATCCTATGCTTCCATCTCTTACATCATCATCCATGCCCTCCTTATGAGCTATATATGATCATGTGCCAGCAACAATGATCTATCTTGGCTAAACAAACAGATTAGGTACTACCTTTGCTCGTATATTTCCTCCAAAACAATCTTCTCAAATCCTAATGTGGTATCAACAAGATTTTGCCTCATCAGCATAGTGTTCTTTTTTCTTTTACCGGTTAATCCTCTCTATATGTGTTCAATTTTAATTTAGGTTAACAATTAAGAATTAAAAAGTTAACCTAAAACTATAAAATTTTTACATAGGCGAAAGAAAAAAATGTAAAACCTCTCTTCTCTATGAAAAAGAAAGAACCCAAAAGCGTATTTTCTTCTCGATGGAAACCCTAGACTCAATCTTTCTTTTCAATATTTTAGAAATATGCTTCAACATATGAAATTTTGTTGAAAACTAACTCTGTCTTTTTTTTTTTTTACTCCAAATTGAAGGAGAAAAATGAAGAATCAGAAAAATCCACTATCTTGTGCTAGATTTGTTGGGTGAGGGTTGATCATACACCAAATACAAATAAAACGCAGTGAAAATAATTTTTT